TCATATTTTTTAATTTTGTAAATCTGTTAGTGATGGTGTGCTTTGTCTAAACAGAAAAACGGTCTTTGGGCCCTCATATGGTTCTCCAGTGAAAAAGATGGCCATCTTACCTGCATCTAATGATGGTGACCCTAATTCTCGTTACATGGCATATATAACACAAGATAAGGTAAAAAAGTGTTTCAGTCCTCATAAACAAACTATGCATTTGATAATTACTACTGTATAAATGGATCTCTTTAATGTCTTACTAAGACCTCTTGGTATCAGCATGAGACATTATGCCAATTTTATTCCTTTGATTTAATGATTTAAGTCTCATTTCATTCCTGATTTTTCTCCTTGATGTAGGTTGGGATTCAGATTTTGCCTGTGGATGGAAACCCTCATAAGTCCTTTGCAATGATCTGTCACTCAACAGGTGTCTCAACTCTAGCTGTCTCATATGATGGTAGAAATGTTTTCACTGCTGGAGGACAAGACTGCACTGTCTTGTCATGGGAGCTCAATTTGTCGTAAGTTTGAAGTACATGCGCCCCATGTAAAAGTCAACAGCTTTTTGCAGTTGACTCATCAACTAGGTCATGATATACTGCATTATATAGTTGCTCAATTAAAGGAATATTTCACCAAAAAAATTAAATTATCCCATTATTTTCTCACCCTTTAGCCATCCTAGCTGTATGACTTTCTTTCAGTCAAACACATTCGGAGTTATATTAAATAACATCACAGCTCTTCACAGCTTTGTAATGGCTTTGAATAGAGTTTTTGAAGCTCCAAAAAGTGCATCCATCCATAAAAGTAATCACTACGACTCCAGTGGTTTAACAAATGCCTTCTGAAGCAAAGCAATAAGTTTTTGCAAGAAAATTTAACATATTTAAACCTTTATAATCTATAGACCTTATGTAGCCCCGCCCCTTCGGTCTGTATTTGCACAGCGATCTTGCATAGGTATGAATGAACAGCTCGTAAAAAAAAATTCCCGGGCGACATTTGTCAAGACATCTGCTTTACAATGCTTATGATAAACATTACAATGCTCATGATAACTTTTTTTAACTCTACAATAAGTAAATCCACTTCACCAGCTAATTACTCCTCAGCAGCGATGCCATAGAAATATACAGAGCGACCGCAAAAACCGCAAAGACAATATTCTAAAGATGACGGCGCCCACGTTTCTCTGGTGCATAAGGTCTATAATCACTCAGGTTCACGATAGAGTCAAGTTTGGGTGGAAGGGTGACCTCTGACCCGACTCATTACATACGATGTAGGTGTAGCGTAAGCTTATGTGAGAATAGATGCCTCATGAAAACCATGTAACTCTCTCGTGAACGCGTGCCTGGCAATTGCCGAAGCCAGTAATTCTAAAGTTTTAAAAATGGATATTTTCCTTTGGGTGAACTATTTCTTTAATATGAGGTCATAAAATATTTGTCTATAATAATAACTGAAATTCAAATCAACTATATACAGCTTATTGTGTCTGTCACAAAATGGGGTCACATAATTAGCTTTTGCAAACATGCAGATCATTGGAGGCATCAGCTGCTCTCGGAGGGAAAGACATGTTGCCCTTCTACAATCTTCTGGAGGGAGGGAGAGATGGACAGCTCTTCAGGGTTCGAGATCTCTATTTAAATGCTTTCTTTTTTCTCATTGTCCTGTATGTAGGTCAAAAATTACAGAAAAAGACAATAAAATGTAAACATTTGCAGAACAACCTGTAGAACCCTAATATACAAAACCGATATCAGAGATTAAAAAATACAGTTATTTAAACACAATGCCATCAAATGTGAAGTGTCATACAGTGAATTCTTGGAATGTCAGTTTTCTCACTGTAAATTATAATATAATTAAATGTTATTTTTAACCTTTAACAGTATTTTACTTTAGAATTACATGAAATGTAAGGTTACATGAATTGTTTACCCCCTGCATTTAGTAAGTGAAATTACTGTTAACCAATTAGGTTTTTACTGTAGCATTTTTACAGATAAAATCAAAACTTAATAAAAAAAAAGGTTATGAGGTTTCATAACATGCTTTCTTAACATGTTACCAGGCCAGACCATATTATGATTTGTCCTTTAGGAAATGGAGGAATATTTTTACTATTGCCAGCTACAGAATCAGGAAGTCAACACCATGGAAACACGGCTTGTGTCCACGCGCATCCCTCTAGCAGATGTGCCCTTCTTAATGAGAGCGCTTGGCTTCTATCCAACCGAGCAAGAGGTACGAGCGTTGTTGCAATCACCAACCATACAAAACTGTCATCGTTTGGTGGACTAGCACTCAGTCCTTGTCAACACATGGTTTTGTTTTGTTGAAGCTGGAAGACATGCAAAATGAGGTGAAGTTCAGCCGCTATGCTGAGACCAGAAATTATGTGACGGACATCGATTTGGAGGAGTTCTTTAAATTGTATATCAACCACAGACCTGCCTCTGGCATTTCCAGACAGGAGCTTTGCAATGCCTTTCAGGTGCTTGGAAGGGCAGACGAGGAGGGCACATATACTATTGACAGAGATGAACTACTGGAGTTACTGCAGGCTAGAGGTAAATATGTTTTTATGAGTTTTAGCAATACTTTTGGTAACTGGATGAGAGAGAAATAATTATTATAATTAACAGAGAAAGGTTTTGACTTGCTCATTCAATAAATTATGCACAACACAAGGAGTCTGACAACAGCCGGTGTGCTCCACACGTAGATATGATCTCATCATCATCATCATTAAGTCTGTCTGTGATTACATGAAGAAACAGAAAAAAAATAAAAACAGACTAAATCCAGAAGAACTGTGGCAACATCTCCAAGACGCTTGAAGAAACCAACCTGCAAAGCTACCTGAAAATTTGTACCGAGGACAAAAGATGTTTTAAACGCAAAGGGTGGTCACACTATGGATTTGATGAGAAGTTAATGGATAAATAAATACACTTATGACATTATTTTTGAAAGCATCCTTACTTTACTGCATTAAGTGCCTAATACTTTCACAGTACTGGAGCTTTGCAGGTAGGTTATCCTCAAGCGTGTTGGAGACTTTGACACAGTCCTTCTGGATTTTGCCTGTTTTTTCTGTTTCTTCATGTAATCACAGACGTACTCAGTGATGGTGAGATCAGATCTACATATGGGGCATACCAGCTGTTTCAAAATCTCACTCGTTTGTAGGTCTATGTTGTATCATTTATCATTGTAGCCTGTTTATTTGATTTATTATTTAAGTTGATTCTCTGAATGCTGGATACTTATTTTTGGACTGATAGTGGTTAATAAAATCAAATAATGGTATGTGAAATAGTCAGTGGTAATATCATTGTGTTTCTGCCGCTGAATTATTCCACAGTTCCTCTAGCACTGACCGACAGGCTGTTGGTCAGTGCTAGAGGATCTGCGCAATAATTCAGGTTAAGCCTAATCATAAATCGCTAGATTGAGCAATTGGAGTATAATAATGGCAAATAAAACATTTTTTTAAACAAAAAAGCTTGTTTAATTGCACTAATTAAACAAAATATACATTGCATTAACCATGCTTGCATTTTAATGGGTTGTATTTTTAAGACTTGCATTTTTATGGGCTGAAATTCAACATGGTTGTTTATTTAAGCTGTGAATATTTCCATTCAAAACATTTCACAAGCATTTTCATTATTAAAAATGAAATAATCCATATTCACTTTCAGATTATTTCACTTCCAAAAATAAATGGACCGAAAATTGCCTGTAGAATATAGGTTGTATTTTTGAAATAGAATTAAATATTTTGGAAGTGAAATCTGAAAGGTGAATATGGATTATTGAATTTTGAATAATGAAAATGTGTGTGAAATTGATTGTTTTAATTGAATCTGTACTTGATCTGTGTTTCAGAAAGCCATTTTTTTAAACCACGATTAACTATTCTAGATTAAGGCCTACTCCTGGCTTTGTTTAAACCTAGTCCGCTGTATTGACAGTTTTTTATACGATGCATACTTTTGAACAAGTGATTAATAATTAGTAATTACTTGTGTTCATGTCAGGTGAACATATGACAGAGGAGGACTTGGCTGAATGCTTTACAACTCTTTTAGGTATTAGTGCAGAGGGAGGCAGTTGCACAGGTATGTAGAAGTATTGAATCTCTATACTGATGGCCAAATTTGTGTGAAATGTTTTCAGGTCCAAAAGCAAACAACACACAGAGCTAGTATAGGCTTCACTCAAGGTGTGCAGTATTACTGAAAAAGAATGATCCTAACCTTTATCTCTGTGCTCAAATACCAGTTTGCCACCAGACAGTGATTTACCTTTTCTGAATTGTTAAAATATCTGTGTCCATGAGACAGGAAGCCCAGAGTAAATCTTGACTTTTTAAAATCTTAATTTAAGGATGCTGTAAATGAATAGTGCTCATAAACAGCAGCTGAGTTAGTATTCTCACTTAAAACAGAGAGGGTTGGACCCAGAAACAGTATTCGATAGACTCCAAGGTGAAGGAGTATTTGACTGAAATAGTAATGAATTTCAAACAGGTGTACCCATATTTTAATCTCAACTACTGTGTCTGTTTTTCAGCATCTATGTTGGAGACTTTGCTACCCACTAAAATCACCATGAGGACATTATCCACAGATATCTTTGGGTTTTCTGCAGCCACCCAGGAACTTCATCAAGAACAAGCACACGATCTATAATATCTGAAATGTCCAGAACCATTCTGAAACTTATAATCTAATTAAAGAGATGTATTATTTGTAGTCTGTATAACAGAACAGTCGTTTTGTGATTACTACTGAGCTGAACGGTGTATTTTCCTGTGTATAATAAGTTACTTTTCTGAAACGCTGAGAGAGAGATAAAATCAAACGGAAATAAACGTTGTTTGACATTACACCGTCGATCCAGTCTCCATTTTTTCCTCAGATACATGTGTAAAACGTGTGTGGATGTCTTAGCCATCGTTTCGATTTGATCGACGAATTCAGCAATCTATTGAAATATCGTTTTCTTTTCTCTGTTCGCTAACAAAGGAGCGAAACGCATACCCGCATTGACCGTGTCTCTCATGGTTCGAGGGCATTTGGCTTCAGCGCAGGCGCACAAACCCCGCCTCTCTCCTGTGCTGTGTGCATTCGCATTGTGTCTAAACAGGCAGCGAGCAAAAAGATATTTTACCAACAGCAGTAATGTCGGGCAGGTCGGTTCGAGCGGAGACGCGGAGCAGGGCGAAAGATGACATCAAGCGGGTTATGGCTGCAATTGAAAAAGTGCGGAAATGGTAAGAGAGAGCGTCTACCCGTTGACGAACAGTACAGACAGCTTGTGGGGGAGGAGAGACAACGAGAAACAATGAAATGAAAGGAAAGAGAGCGTTTCTACCACTCCAATTTCAGTCAGATGTGCTGTTTCTTCGCGCGCCTGGGGTTTTTGTCGGCGTTTGAGAAATTAGTTAGGAAAAATGTTCATAGCTTTTTTCTTCCATTAAATGTTTATGTGGGTTGAACCTAGAAGCCATTTCGTTACAGTCACATGAAGGCTTTGCTGTTTGAGCCTGTAATGCCGGCTGAATAGTAACTGAACGGGCTGACATGAACTAGTCGAACGTCCGTACCAAACAAAAAGTGCCGATGAATGGGCTTTTTACTCTAAGTTAGTTCATCTCATCTGAGAGCGAGAGAGAGAGAGCGACTCGCGCTTCTGAGAGACGGAGCGTGAGAAGAGTTTTATCCGCGCGCGGGGGTTTAAACTCAGCGCGGAGCTTTAATACACTCACCAAAAACTTCCGAAGGTTGTGGTTAAACTTCAGTCCAACTTCAAATAATTCCCCCAGCAAAATGGTTATGAGGTTAACAATAACCACAACAATAGTATCTTTCCTAAACGTTATTAAGAAATATAATTATTATAGAATTAAATAATGAAAATCGTAGTTTTGTAATGACATTTAGTTATTGAAATGATCCTAATCTGTGAGCTTGTAAAAAGTGATATTAAAAAGTAAAAAATTGATTTTAAAGTAAATAATATAAATTGTTTAATTAGTGTTGTTTTACCCTGTCCACCACGTACAGAGTTAACCTCGTGTATATTTACAGTAAAAATAGTTTATTATGTGGATGTCAGTTGCATTGCATATTCTGGAAATAGGCTACCTTTTAATACCTCTGCAGAGATTTCTTATGACTATAAATGATTAAATGGTTCATCTTCTGTTAAACTCATTTGCTTGCAGTCTCATTTGTCTGTGATATCTAACAAAAACATGCACATCCCCAGGGAGAAGAAATGGGTGACTGTTGGTGACACGTCACTACGAATCTACAAGTGGGTACCAGTGACAGAGCCCAAGTCAGATGATGTAAGTGACATTTCATCACCATAATGCTCTGCTATTGCATTTCTAGTCAATACCAATAACCCAGTTATTGTAATTTTTTTTTTGCCAATTTAACTGATTAATTTTTTTCAATTTGTTTTTCATATGAATAATTTATTTTATTTTTTAAATTAGAAAAGGTAAATTCATAGTGAGATTGAGGTCACTAGTGCCAAAAATGTGTTTTTGATAGGTCGGCCAATATGTTATTTTTTTCACGCCGATGCCGATATACTGATCTTTTGAAATCCGGGTCAGCCGACGGCTGATTAATGCTGCCGATTTATTTTGGCCGATATTTGCTTGGTTTTTAACCTCTATTTGAAAGATAAAATGTAAAAGAAATGATAATTACTTAACATAGAAAACTTTCTCAACATAAACATTTTATCCTCTCAAAAAATGTCCTGAAACATGTATTTTTGGTTTGTTTTGTTTGTTGACGGACAAAGACAAATGGACAACCTAATTATCACAAAAAAGGAGAAAAAAATACTTTAAATGATTTAACTTTTTATATATAAGATTTATTTTATTTTATTTAATTTAACTTCTAACAATAACGTATTTCACTAGTAAATTGCTGTTGAACGACAAAAACAACCACCAGATGGGAAAATTATATTTTACAAAAACTTTAAACGCACCACAACGCACCGTCCGTCTGTTGTTCTTCAGACAACGGCATCCCGCTGTTGGACCTTTTAGTCTACAGTGAAATACAGTCACGTTTTACAGTTTGGCCAGCATTTTAACCATGTTTAATCCAGCTACTAACTAACGGTCAGTGTTGTGCCTGAACGTGTTCAATAAACGATAGTTCATATTTAGGTCTGCTGCTCACTTGGCTGGAAAATGACTCTAGCGGCAGCGTACGTCAAACACGTGTTTCACGACAACACTGGGCTGCCCACAGATATGCCTGCCTAATAATCGGCTTGATATACTTGGATATTGGCCGATGCCGATTATGTAAAAAAAATGCCAAAAATCGGCCAATTAATCGGTCTACCTCTAGTTTTTGTTGCTTGTGGCCCAGATCGTTACATGATTTAGTTGTCGAATCAAACAATTATTTTTGCAACATGTTTCAATATTATTTACATGGCTTTGTTGCAAATGTGTGTTTTTATTTATTTATTTGTCACACAGAAGAACAAAAACAAGAAGAAAGGCAAAGATGACAACAAGTATGGCTCTGAGGTCACGACCCCTGAGAACAGTTCCTCTCCTGGAATGATGGATATGCATGGTAATGGTGCAGACATGACAGTAATCAGACCCTAATCACATCTCAAAATAATGCTCATACAGCCTTTTCAGGTGCAGTTACTTGGCAATTATTACAAAGTTTTTTTTTGTTATTTTTACACCAAATTGAGATTTGTGATTATTTGGACTTCTAAGAATGTATTAAATACTTAAGTATGCCAAATATTACCTGTAATATCACACCAATTATCCATTTTAAAAGAATAATTATTGGCTTTTAATGGCTTTGAATGGTCTGATTCCTTCTTAAAAGGGATAGTTTACTTTGAAATAGATTTTTGATATGTTTTAGCTTACCTCAAGGGCATCCAAGATGTAGGTGTCTTTGTTTCCACAGTATTTTCAATTTTGACATCTTTCAGTCAAACCGTTGTTGTCTATCAGTCATACACTGGAGGCTAAGGGGGTCCACCAAAAAGCATGCACAGAGAATCATGTACATGATTTAAAGGGTAACTAAACCCCTGGTCAGAGCCTTAATCTACCCACTGGCAATATTTGAAAAATGCTGGAAAAGTGGGCAGAGCCCAGCGGAGGGGGGCGTGCACCTGAGACGCATCTCTTTGTATGGAACTTGCCTATGTCACCAACAACCGCTGTGTCACGTACCACCGCAAACATCCAATAGGAAAATTCAACTGCAGTAGCCACCGTTCAACCTGAAGAGGGCAGCACCAAGACGTTTTTACACCATATATTGTAGAAATAGAACACTTTATAAACAAATGCCAAAAAAGTTACTCGAGTCAATGACTGGTATTAATAAAGATCCATTCTTACAGATCATTAACTAAAAAAAAGTTGGTTAAGTGTTTAGTTACTCTTTAATGACTCGTAAATGTAAGTACACATTGATGGCCTAAGACACGAAACGAGCGGTTTTTGTGAGAAAACGAACAGTATTTATATCGTTTTTACCTCTTGTAATCATAGCCATGACAAAATGATCTGACTGCACGGGCGCTTCGGTCTGCGCATGCGCTGGAAGTGATCGCTGGCGCGCCTACGTCACTCTTTGTTTATACAGAGATTTCGGAAGTTTTACCTTTCACTAAACATATTTAGATATATGGGAAACTGCAATGGAAGACAATTTTGGTATATCTAAATATGTTTAGTAAAAGGTAAAACTTCCGAAATCTCCGTGTAAATATTGAGTGACGTCACACGCAAGCGATCACTTCCGGCGCCACATTGAACTGATTCAGTTCGGTTCAGTTGGACATTGCACAACTGATTCAGATCACTTGGACGTCACTGCGATTACACGAGGTAAAAACGATATAAATACTGTTCGTTTTCTCACAAAAAAAAAAAAACGCTCGTTTTGTGTCTTAGGTCATCAATGTGTACTTACATGTACGAGTCATTAAATCATGTTTAATTTTGACTTCTCTGTGCCTGCTTTTTGGTGGACCCCCTTAGCCTCAAGTGTATGACTGACAGACAACAACGGTTTGACTGAAAAATGTCAAAATTGAAAATACTGTGGAAACAAAGACACCTACATCTTGGATGCCCTTGAGGTAAGCTAAAACATATCAAACATTAATTTCAAACTGAACTATCCCTTTAACCAATAGAGGGTGTTGTTGATGAAACACTCCAATTGAATTGATGTCATTTGCTATTCTATAACCACGCATTAACGTGTCATATACTGTTTGAAAGCTGTCAAGAATTTAATCAAATCTTTTGTCACACCTTTTTAATTGTGTTTCTATTTTTCACCTACAGATGATAACAGTAACCAGAGCTCCATTGCAGACTCCTCCCCACTGAAGCAGGAGAACAGCACCAACACTAGTCCTGCACCTGAACCCATGGCAGCTTCTCAGAGTGACAGCAATGACATGAAAAGTGACCTATATCCTTCCAAACAGCCTTCTTCTGGTCAGGATCATAAGAGTGGTTAGTCGCTGCAATTAGCCCTCTAGAAGCTCACTATCCTCTCTTCTCTGTCCTTCAATGTTTATTTTAATTTCACTTTTTTTTTTCCAGAACAAAACCACTGCTCATCAGAGTCTAGGACAGCCAAAAGGGACAGCAAGTCACAAGGAGATTCGGAGCACTTTTTAGACTCTTCCAAATCAGCCCAGGTACATGCTAACCGTGTCACTTGCATGAAGTTTAAAAAAGTAAAAGTAATAATTTAAGTAGATGTAGCAACAGTTTTCAGTCAGAGATCAGTTAACTGACTCAGTGGTTTCTTTTGAAGGAATTGGAAGATGGGGCTCCCTCAAGCAAAAAAGGAAAACTCGACTCTTCCTCTGAAGAAAGTTAACTATCTTCTACCAGCTGTTATGCATTTGTGATCCCAGTCTCTTATCCCAAAACACATCACAACATTTTAGTTCTACACTTATCCCTACTGCCATCTATTCACAAGAACCCTGTCTTTTGCGGTCAGTTTTAGTGTAAAGGGCATGTCTGGATCGTCTTTGTATGAGTTAAGGCAATGAATCAAGCTGTGAGATAGTGTACTGATCCTAAAACAATTCATGCTGCCCTGCAATCACCACGTGCTGTTTCTTTTGCCAAGATCAGAACCGTCAATTGAAATGGCACTGGAACTGCCATAGTTTTTCTAAATTGGCATTATCAACTGCCGTTTGTGAATTTTTTTTTTATTTTTTTATTTGCATCACCTTTTCTTGTTCACTCAGGAAGGTCAACACTGTTTGTTTTTTTGTTTTTGTTTTTTAATCACGGTGAAAGTAATTGATTTCTGCTGCTGTAGTTTAGAGAGATTTCACCATAAGTAGCTAAATATAAAAAAAATACTACAAATGGTACTAGTCACGAGTTATTCAAATACTCCTGTGAAGACCATAGCTTGTAGCGTAGGCCTTGCTTGGTTGAGTGCATTTGTATTACTGAGAAGAGGATTTTTTTTTTCCTCATCTTGTTTTTGACTACACATTTTGGTTCTCATTTGTTTTTTGTTTTTGTTTTTCAAATATCTACAGTAGGTAAGTCGAAAATGTTAATTTTCACCAATGCTCAACTCAAACCAAGCTTTGAAATGCTGGTTGCCATTTCAACAGCACTACAACCTTCCAACGTACATACAGTAAGGAGCTACAATAATTGCATCATTTTGATACGTCAAATTGACAAATGACTGATTCTTTTCTCTATTCAAATGTACTGACTGCATGTGTCGTCGTCCAAGGAAAAAGGTGACATTGATTAGATTGTACCACAGGCAAGTTATGGGTAGACAGCTGTGCGAATACCTCATACTCAGTCCAGCAGTGCTGGAATGTAAACACTAAGTATGACTTTCTCGAACTTACTCTGTTACGTATGCTTGAAAAATAAAATGTATATATTTATACGATTACGTTTTTGCTACCCTTATGTTTATGCCACAGTATTTCGCCAAACTGCCTTCTGTAGGTCAATCTTTGAAACTTTTAGCAAAATGTATTCATTGGGACCATATTGTTTTTTTTTCTTTCCCAGTCTATAATAGAAATGTCTTGTACATAAGTATGGTTGTCTATCCTATTTATTCCACATGTAGTTTAATGGTTTTCTAAAAAACAAAAACAAATAAAAGAAAATATTTCCTTTGAATGCTCATTCATTTTGTTGCCAAATATCACGCCAGAATATGCTCTGAATAGTAAAGATGTGCTTGAAGCTTGATTTCCTTAGATACATTTTTACTGCCCATGATCTGGTGTAAAGACTAATAAATCATAACATGAAGACTAACAGAAAGTTGTGGTAGAACAACTAACATGGCCCACAGCAATACCTGGTAAGATGCTAAGAGAACAATCAGTCCATTTTAATGCTAGTTTTCTGTCTGTTTTTCACTATGCATCTGAAAGTGAGGTTGATGCGTGGTGTTTTGACCTTTTTTCTGACTGGAAGACTGTGATACCAGTATGTGTTTGTGGGATAGTTCATGAGCAGAAGACTCCCGTGAGCCAGCTCGAGCTTCACAGGCTCAATCTGACGTTTGCTAGAACCCCCTCGTGCATCCTTATGTCGGAAAATGAAGTCTCGGACAGCCCCTAGCGATACGGAGGCAATAGGACAGGCAGGATCCAGTTCCCGTTCATCATCCCGATGCTCTCCCATGTGATCGTGACCATCTTTATACCTGATGTCAACCATAAACATGCTTTCCTCATTTTGAAAGAACATGACTTCTATGTGAAGTAATGCAGCACTTCAGGCTCATAGGTCTGTCTATGTGTCAACAGCAGTGAGTTGAATTACCTGTTTATCAAAACAAAGTTGAATGTATGGCCTGTTGCCTTGGTAACAGCATCTCGAATGTGTTCCAAAGTGGGAGTCCACGGTTTAGCCAGGAGCTGGACTCCAGAGAAAGAGTACATAAGTCCCTCATCCCCGTATGTGGCTTGCTTCCTTGGAACTTGGTATGACTTTCCATAAACTTGTACTTTAGCTTTGTCACCTTTGTCACATGAGAAAATGGAAACAGGATGGAGTACTAAATAGCCGTAATCTGGCACACTGCATTTGGTACAAATATAAAAAATGAAGTTACATTATCTAAATAACATATCCTGTATGATTCTTGTATCTGTAACGCCAATATAAACTGTTTTCAAGTTTGGGGTCAGCAAGATTTTTTTTTTAAACAAATACTTTTATTCAGTAAGAATGCATTAAAGTGATTAAATTGTTACAAAACATAAAATATGTTCTTTTAAACGTTCTATTCATCAAAGAATCTTAAAAAAAAAACCCACCACAAGCAACACTGTTTTTAACGTTGATAATAATAAGGATTATTTCTTGGGCATCAAATCATCATATTAGAATGGTTTCTGAAAAATCCTGTGACTGATGACTGGAGTAATGATGATGAAAATTCAGCTTTGCTATCACAGCAAATTACATTTTAAAATATATTAAATTAACACAATAGTTATTTTAAATTGTAATTTTTTTAACAAATAAATGCAGTCTTGGTAAGCATAAGAGACTTCGGTAACACTTTCTATGAAGCCTATAATGAATTATAGCACAATTTATACTTATAAGTATTACTATTATATACATATAATTATAAAGATTCATTAAAGGGGTGGTTGATTGTGATTTCTTTTTTTTCCATTTTAAATAGTGTGTAATGTTGCTGTTGTCTTTTCAAAATGGAAGTTTAATGCCTACAAAAACGACTCGAATGGGACTACAACGAGACATTTCCCGGGTTTAATACGTAACTAACCCATCAACCCTCCCTCCGGAATATGAAAAAGGGGGACATGCCATATTTCTACGGCTTTGTCGAAGAGGAAGAGTTATAGTGGAGAGCTTTTGTCATGCCGTCGAAACAAAGTGTGTTATTTTCACCCAGCTGTCAGGTCTTCTGTGTTTGGGCTTCCTATGGATGCTGTAGTTCATCAACAATGCCTAAAATTCTAAAATTTATGTTTGATTATGTTCCTGAAAATTACAATTGTAATTTAGCCCTCTGTGCTGCGCATTTTACAAAAGAGAGCCTCCAGAATCTCCACGAATTCAATGCCGGATTCAACAAGAAAGTGTAACTAAAACATGAAGCAGATCCAACTATAAAACCAGAGGCCGCAGTTGTTGGGCCACAACATGTAAGAAAGACTTAACAATTTTAAATGTATTTGGATGTATAATAATTTCAGACGTAATGTTTTAGTTTTATCAAGTACGTAAACAAATGCCAAAAAAATGCCAGCGCTGGCTTTAGTAGCCATATAGTTATGCTATTTCGTGTGTCTATGACAAACGTGTACAAACATTTAGGACCTGAATTTGTAATTATGTTCCAATTTTGTAAATGTATTTTCCATGTATACTTTATGTAGGGTCCTGGGTAATAGTAATAAAGAAGCAGACATCGAGGTAGCGTTTATCTGGCAATCAGTACAAAAGCATGAGCCGGCAGACTCTTCCTCGGCTATCTACTGTACCACAATACTAATTTAATTGACCTACTACTGCTACCTAGGGGACAATTCTAATATGACAGAGATAACCTTCCCCATCTACCACATTCCTTTTTGATGTAATTTTTCGATTTGATCAAGAACATAAACCAATGCCAACACTGTTTGTTTATAGTAGCCAGATAGTTCGATAGCTATTTTGTGTGTATAAGACAATAAAGTTCAAAAAAGTATATGTAATCACAAGAGCAAACTTCAGCTGCTGTTATCAATGTACAGTATGGTTTGTATACAGGTTTTATGTACTGTTTATCTACATACGCATCACTGTAACAGATATTTTAACACATTGCCACATGCACACCTAAAGAAAATGATACACCGAGTAAACTAAGTTTTGTGAATAGATAAACGGTTGTTCATTATATCTATAAAACAGTAACTTTTAAAAAAAAAAACCCAGTAGTTATTCAGTTATATTAAGTTAAACTCTCTTCATCGCTGCTTTCTGGGTCTGATTCTGGCTCAAACTGATACAGCAGTATTGACACCATTATTTCCATTTGACCGGAGCACATGCAACTAACGGACTGCGGCCCGGGTGGTCGTGGAGGCAAAAACTCCCATGAACTCCCTTTGTCGCCGGTTCTGTTCATAATTTTTATGGACAGAATTTCTAGGCGCAGCCAGGGGCCGGAGGGTGTCAGATTTGGGGACCACACGATTTCGTCTCTGCTCTTTGCGGACGATGTTGTCGTGTTGGGCCCTTCACACCAGGACCTTCAGCGTGCACTGGGATGGTTTGCAGCCGAGTGTGAAGCGGCTGGGATGAGAATCTGCACCTCCAAATCCGAGCCCATGGTTCTCAGCCGGAAAAGGGTCCCTTGCTCACTTCAGGTTAGTGGAGAAATCCTTCCTCAAGTGGAGGAGTTTAAGTATCTTGGGGTTTTGTTCACGAGTGAGGGAAGGATGGAACGGAAGACAGACGGATCGGGGCAGCTTCAGCAGTAATGTGGTCGATGTACCGGTCTGTTGTGGTGAAGAAGGAGCTGAGCCGTAAGGCAAAGCTCTCGATTTACCGGTCAATCTACGTTCCTACTCTCACCTACGGTCATGACTCATGAGCTTTGGGTCATGACTGAAAAGACAAGATCCCGGATACAGGCGGCCGAAATTAGCTTTCTCCGCAGGGTGGCTGGGCGATCCCTTGATAGGGTGAGAAGCTTGGTCACTAGGGAGGAGCTCAGAGTAGAGCCGCTGCTCCTCCACATTGAGAGGGGTCAGCTGAGGTGGCTCGGGCATCTGTTACGTCCCACTGGGCGGAGGCCCCGGGGAAGACCTAGGACACGCAGGAAAGACTATGTCTCCCGCCTCGGTGTCCCCCCAGAAGAGCTGGAGGAAGTGTCTAGGGAGAGGGAAGTCTGAGCATCTCTGCTTAGACTGCTGCCCCCACGACCCGGCCCCGAATAAGCGGAAGAAGATGGATGGCTGGACGGACGGACATGCAACTAACCAATCTGAGCCCATTGCCGGTTTCTGATGGAGTGGTTTCATAGAATCAGGAAGTCAACCGGTCGTTCAAATGAGGAGAAAGCGGCTTACAATAAAGGTGAAATTCATGAAAAATAAGGCTTTAAAAAAATAAAAAGTAAAAAACATGAAGACATGTTATATTATAGCTAGAGCCCGACCGATAAAGGATTTTGAAGACCGATACCGATACACATATTTTTTGGTTTTAAAATCTGATATTCCGATATATCGGCTGATATATATATATATTTATATTTTAGAAAGGCGCAACAAAACATTAACAGATTTCCCTAACATTAGTTATTTGTAGTTATTTAAGAGTTTTAGCTAAAATAATATGATAATGCATTTTAAAAAGAAACTTGATTCTTTTATTGTCACAACAGAACAGACCGACGATAGTGGCATTAGCTAGCTTTATGGTTAGCTAGTCTATGCTGAGCCATAATTTAGCAATGGATTACGTCATACTGCAAATCGTAAAACATACATTTTCAATATAACGGGCCAAGGAGAGATGATACGTCTCTTTGCTATAACTGTCACGCGCTATTAAAGAAATACTTCAGTCACATTGTCAAAAGTTAAAAGGACAGTCAGTCAACTACACTGAAACAACGTAACGTAACTATTACTAGCTAATTCCACTTCACTCTCTGCTTATTTAACAGCAGCAAAACTGGACATGATAGTCACAAATTTTGTCATGCTTATTTGAGTTAAGAGGACTGATGGGGATGTTCTTTTAATTGTTATTCAAGCAATGTACCGGTATGTATCGTGACCAACTCAACTAGTGTTGCCAACAGGAACGGTGTAGACTGCCCTCTGGTGGACAAACTATACAACTCCAACACTCATGAGTCATGACATGGTTCAAGCGTGTTTCGTCCGTTTTCATTTTATTTTTGAAATATTCATTTATCGGCCAATATAACTGCCGATATCGATAGTTTGGAAAATGCCTAATATTGGCCTGCAGATATATCGGTCTGGCTCTAATTATAGCCTATAAATGCAATCATGAAAAGAAAAAAGAGCATTAAACTACCCCTTTAAGACATACTGCATTATAAGTATAGCATTATAAGTCATGCATTTGCTTTTTCAATGTGCATACTCATAATCCATTATACACTGATTTAGAAGTATTAATTAGTCAGTCATATGATTCCATGAATGTATTTATAAAGATGCAGCCTGCATTGCTATAAAGGTATTATATTATAGTTAAAACATTTTTAATAATTCAGATTTATTTCTGTCAAATAAGTGAATATATACTTAATGTTATTAATAACCATGTTGTGTTCTTATAAATAATTATTGTGAGTGAAAATACAGTTACTGACCTCTATAAAGACATCATTGATGATGTCTTTAAGTAAAGTGAAAACAGGCAAACATGGATCTTTTTTATGTTACATACTAGCAAAACACTGCATGTTACAAAGTGCCTTGTATTTAGCACTTCAGGTTAGATATATTAGTAGGGTTTTCTTATTGAGAGTTCACGAGAGCACCTCATTTCATAAAGTGATGTTATATAATTGTGTGTGTCCATTTAAAAGTAAGTTTCTATGTTTATCAATCTTATTTCATTATTGTTTAAGGGTTATCAAAAAAGTCCTGTTTGTTAGGTTAAATAGGCCTAATTTAAATTTGTCTAACCATTGAAATATCTTTATTATTGATTAACAATTTTTGTATGGATGTTAAATATTGATATATTGTTTATTTTTTTGTCTTATATAACCACACACACATAAGTACTCAACGAAATCTATGTGCATCTCATTGCATCCTGACCAGACGTACCACAGTGATTAATTTAACCCGAGCCACATCGGTTAATTCATAACACTGCAACTATATATTTTTTTAAGTATAGTTTCAAACTGCTAAGCAACCATGCATATGGCTGAGGAGATTTTAACAAATCAAAATTAACATTTATTACCATAAATTCGTTTTAATAATAATTATATAGAATAGTAATATTTATAAATAAGTATAAATGGGGCTATACTAATTCATTATAAGCATGGACTAGAAAGTGTTACCGAGACGTCTTTCAGAAACTTTTTTTAAGTGTAGTTACTGGCCTAAATGATACAAAAGCACATGCAATACCTGTGAAATACATCACCTCCTCTTCTAGCTGCTTTAAAAGGTGATCAGCCTCCTCTTTTTCAAATAGAAAACTGTAGTCACAATCCAATCCCTCTGCCTCAAACTTCTGCCAGGGAATGGGCTGAGAAAACTCCTCTTCCACCTCACACTCATCTTTGCATTTCTTGATCGGTTCCCCTGATTTCCATTCATCTGCCTCATCAACTGATCTTTTTCTGTGCCGAGTAACAAACTTATCCATTCGAACACCTGCAGAACAAAACAGAAATGACTTTTCAGACTTTCTGGTTTTGTTTTTCAAAATCACTTTAATTTGTCAACAGTTAGTTATTTTTTATATAGTGTGTCCACATCAAAGAAAACGATATACTATATGTCATGCACATTTTGACAGTAAAAGTGGTTGACACTGTAAAGCATAAAGAGTACTCTCGGGTTTAATCAATGTTTTGGTGGTACACGTGAGAAATTGCAACTAGCCCGTGTCTTTCGTTATGCACGTGCATTATCTAACTGTAACTTTAGGAGAGGATTCAGTCGGGTGTCTTACCTGGATTGCTTTTATGTTTTAATAAACCATCCACACTGCATAGATTAATGCTCAAATTATGTCCCAAACCGGAAGTGTACGTCACGTCACTACCGATAAGACGTCATATACACAGTATCACAGGAATTATTCGTTAGTTAATAATATTGTATACCCTCCAGCTCGCTTTTTCTGGTCATCTGTGTTTGGAGATGTAAATTGGCGTAATGCTTGGAGAAGAATGGATAAATTCTACATTAATAATAAAGTAAAAGAAGGCTCTTTTAAAATAATGCATAGAATATATCCAGTAAAGCCAGGGGTGTAAAGTAACGAATTACAAATACTCACGTTACTGTAATTAAGTAGCTTTTTTCAGAAATTGGACTTTTTTGAGTAAGTTTAAAATTGTGTAATTTTACTTTTACTTGAGTACATTTTAAGTGATGTATCGGTACTTTTTCTCCGCTATTTTCGTTCTGTTTGTGGCCGTTACTCGTTACATGCTTGTTTTAATTTTATTTTTATCCATCAACGTGATTGGATCGAGTAATCGGTCTCGTGACTGTCGTCAATTTAAATTAAGCATAGAAAACGTACCGCCTATTCCTGCTGTTACTCGCGACTGCTGTGGAAGTGCATTCATCACGCATCAATTCAATCCAGATATCAGCGTCTTCCTCTAATATGCTAAGGTACATTTCACATTTCTGCTTAATATGATATTTATAGGCTGGCCTGTCTACAGGGCCTAACATTTGGTCTGAGGTTGGGGGAATTGCGAGACGAGTTCATAATGCGGTGAATTCCCGCTCCCATTTACTTCACAAATTCACAATCACATAATAGAGAAACGCGTCTCGCGCTCGCCATGCCGCCAGATTCAGAATCAGTGCACCAGGTCGTTAACTTGAACTGCATTACTTAATAAGAAATTAGCACAGCTCGTTAATAAACAGCATTTTTTGATTGATCCATTATATGATCCGTCTTCATTTGGCAAGTGCACTTGCGCAAAAACATTTTTCATGCTGAACTTTTTTTTTGTGTGGATGCTGCTGATAAAACAGCTTAGCCGAGACTTCAGAGACAAAGTGTGTTTGTTTCTTTTGTAAAAGTTTCCTGGATATAACTAACTTCCCTATTTAATGCACAATTTTCCTTACAAATTATATTATCAGTATTACAATGTAAATGTAGCCGTTTAAAATGTAAAGGATTATGCCACCCTTCTAGAACAATGCATTTACGTTTAAATTGTAACATATTTAATAGCATGGAATAAAAGTGTGTAATTAGTGTTAGCTCACTATCTTAGCCTTTTTCAGTGCATTAGTTGAGGTAATATGATAATATTAGTGATTCTCATTTATCAAAACACTAACATTGGTAACGTTTTGGAGAGAAATTGGGTATTTTTTATTTTATTTAACCCATCTCTTGGTGTGTGATGCTGAACTATCATATGAGTTTCTAAAGGTTTTTGAATTCTTTGCACAGTTATGAATATTGATATTTTATGTGCAACAATAGCATGCTCAGGCCCAGTGGCTTTTCACCTAATTTTAAATGCTCTTTCCCCCAAATAATATGATTTAAATGGTGATGAGTGTACTGATTTGATGCATTTTAAAAAGATGGATGATAGATATTCTTCAATCTTTCTTACAAAAAACAAAATATAATGTGAATTCCAGTATGTGCATTTTTTTTTTAAATTTATAAAATGTAGTGCACAGTATTTATTATAAGGGTTAGAATCCGCACCTCAGTACTCACTACTCACTACTCTTGAGTACTTTGAAATAAGCTACTTTTTTACTCTTACTCAAGTAGTTTTTTGGACAAGTACTTTTTACTCTACTCATACTACATTTTTTGGAATGTAATGGTACTTTTACTTGAGTATGTTTTTTTAGTACTCTTTCCACCACTGAGTAAAGCATGTAGCTACTGGAACGTTTTAAATTAGATATTGATTATTCTTGTAATTTCTGTAAAGGTGAAAAGGAAACAATTTTTCATTTATTTTTCCATTGCATACATACCAAAATATTTTGGCTTGATGTGGAGCGTTTAATTAAGAAAAAATTGTCCATTGACTTACAGCTGAGTGGATTTGACATTATGATACACTTCAATGATCATGGGATTGAGAAAGATAAGACATATTCTAACAATTGTTAATACTGATGGGGAAGTTTCACATTCATAAAATGAAATGGTCTGACTCCAAACCTAATTTTTCTTGCTTTAAAAATGATTTTAAGCTTTATTGTTATCTTTTGTGTAACTGCAAAAGTAAAAAGGCAAATTAGAGCTTATAGCATTGTAAGCAGATATGATATATAATGTAGCACCCCTTTTCTGTTTGTAATACTGTATTTTTTTTATCCTCTGGCACTGTTCTTTTTTTATTTTATTTACTTTGTTTTTTGTTTCACTTTGAAGGATTATGTCTCATTGTATTGTTCTGTTCATGGCATTAATAAAAAATAATAATAATGATAAAAAAAATAATTAAAAAAATCGTTAGTTATTAAATTAAAAGCAAATGATCATGACTCAGCGCTGTGAACAAGGTTTACAAAGAGGTCAATTTCAAAAGTGCAATATTTTATTGACTGTTTTGAAGAAGACACTGCCATTTTTGACAAATAAAATATTTGGTCAAATATACTGGAGTATAGCCTATACAATTGACTTTGTCCCACAATGAAGAATGAAGAATACCGCAGTCATGTTCCCTTCAGACTACTCCACATTTTCATAATCATTATCAGTGCTGTTTGCATATGTCTCCTCTGCTTCTGCTGCACTGTTCACATAAATTGCAACCTTATTTTCAGGCCTGTTGATATAAGCTGATGAAAACCGCCCTGCAAAGCGGGGGAAAAAACTGTTTAATTTATTGTGAATATTTCCATAATTTAGTTTATTTATTTATTACTCACTTTTCCCTTTGGAGGTATTTTTTCTGAACTCTTGATCATTCTCTGCAACAGAATTATAATATAATATTTGTATTGATAAATATATAAATATAATGTCTCTGATAAGAAAAAAATAGTCATGCCTTTACTAACAGTTTATATATGAGAATTTGTTAAAACAAGAAATACACATCAAACCCACCATAGATGGTTTGATTTTTGCTGGCATCTTGAACTATCATGACAATGAGAGAAAGACAATGTTTGAAACAGGATGTCACCATCTTTTAAAACTTGAAACTTGATTTGATTCATAAGACCATGTGTTATAAATGGTCACATGTAGCATATGTGTGTGGAATACAGTATTTAATAACAATACTGTAATAATAAGTGTGAAAAATACTGTAAAAATAAGTTTACCCTGCTGGCTGTTCACATAATATGGTTGATCTGATATTTCTGAAAGAAAGAGATTATGTTACATTACTAAGCATGCAAACAGTTTATAATTAAAATGTATTCAGAATTTATGTGATATACTTACCATTATGTTTTCGCACAATGCAACACACTGTGACCCCAAGAAGAAAAATAATAATTGTTGCTCCTCCTGCTATGAAGGGCCAATATAACATCACTGTGTCCTTTGAGCTTTCTGATTCACCTTGTTCAAATCTTTCTGCCTTTCAGACCGAAGTTCGAACATTTGTAACATATACAACAAAAAACAGACAATACTATATCAGTATATAGTATTTAAAAAGTATGATTTTAAGAATTAGTGTCAGGACACAATCAAATCAATATATACAAAATATGGTATGTTTTTGACAGCATTATTTTAGTGAATAAGTCATAGTTTGTAAAAAAAAAAAACTTCTTCTTGAATGCAAAGTTGTGATAAGGTAGCCAGTATTTATTTATTTTTTACTCACATGTGTGAATTCCAGTGTCCTCATGATGTTTATTAATGCTATTAAAGTCTTAAGACAGTTCACAGTGGAACAAAGCCACATTATAGAAGACGATGGAGTACTTTCCAGTTTCGTAAAATTTGGAAGTCTTCTTATCGTCCTAGCCCTTTACTTCACCTTTCAGAATGTGTTCTAAAATTAGATACTGTTGCATTGGTGCAACATCTCTGCCGTGCAGCCTGGCCTGGAGATGGCAGTTTCAAAGAAACGAGAGAGCATCTCTGCTCAAACCTATGAAACCACAGCAACAAACACATTCATCTATACAGCAGTTTCCTGTACATCACAGGTGGTCTTTGCACAATGATGATCTTTGCTGAGCTTTCTGATGTTTTACATTGTTGGCAAACTTTAAATTCTTATGTGCTGCTGAGAATTTAATGTCTTTTTTTAATAATTATTATATGTTTATAGTAATGTGTGTTAACACACTCATATTCTTGCTTGAATGATTCTACAATAACATCTCCTGCAAGGACTGGTTAAATACCATAAACATGACCAAAAATAAACCTTACCATTTAGAGGTGAAAAATGCAGAGTAAAAAGCCCTAAAGTCCAACACAGAAAGAAAGGATGTTTTTTCCCCCATCAGGTAAACATCAATTCACTCTGAGGAGGACAAGAGGACATTTTGGACAAGTGTTTTCCATAATTTCCTGATCGCTCTACCTCCGCCAGTGGCCTCAAGACAATAGGCTCATGGTGTGTACATGTATATAGCCTTAATTCTTCACTATTACACAAAACCACTTTTGTATTAAGATTAAGATTTTTGAATTTGAACTCAAGCTTTTAAAAATACGCACAAGCTATGCTTTTTACATGGCTGAAATGTATTATTATTATTCACATTACTTTATACTAGGTATTTTGCTTTTAATATTAATTTTATTCAGGAGTAAATACTTTTAAATGAGAAAAAAATACTGAGAGAGAATAATCTACTCAGAATCTATTCTTCATATTTATTTAGATTTTGAATATAATTAAGTATATTAACTGTTTTAAATTATATTCAATATAAGTTAAGAGGACTGATGGTGATGGGAACTTGGCTGTGGAGGTAGGCCTACATTAGAAACAATTTGTGTCTGTCAGTTGTGAACGGTGGAATATTAAGAATGGCATTACTGACCTCTAGTGGCTTTGTAGATGAAGATATTAAAGGGCCTTTAAAGTTGTTGTTGCAGGCCCAGTGCAGAAAGCCTTGTCTAGAAAGTCCCTGTGAAAACAGGAAAAAATTGAGGAAACCGAATCTGTGTGGGCGCCAACACACAGCTCCTCACCCCAAGTCTTCGGTTCACTTTCACAATAAAAGTCCTAATCTCACAGACACAAACTATGCTCTATTCCAACATATTATTTCTCTATTAGAGGGTAACTAAACCCTAAAACAATTTTTTAAGTTAGTGATCTGTAAGGCTGGGCATTTATTAATGCTGTTCATTGATTCAAGTAATTGTTTTGACATTTGGTTATAAAGTGTTTTAATTCTACAATAAATGGTGTAAAAACGTCTGAGTGCTGCCCTCTTCAGGTTGAATAGTGGCTACTGCAGTTTTTCCTATTGGAAGTTGTGGTGCCCTGTGATGTAAGCAGGCACCAGGTAACCACGCCCTTGCCAGAGAGACCCATCTCAGGTGCTCAGTTTCCAGCATTTTTCAAATTTGCCAGTGTGTGGAGTCAGGCTCCGACCAGGGGTTTAGTTACCCCTAAAATAATCAGATCAATTCTGGGCACAGACAATAGACCGACCAGAAGTGTGATGACATCAAACAACAACTCCGTACACATACTAACACAGACAGGGAATATAAGACATATCTAACAAGACTAACACAGAAGAGCTGGGAACAATGATTACAAGGAACAGCCGAGTGCAATGAACTGATGAGTGACAGTGACAGACAGAATGCTGGGAAATGCAGTTCAGATAGTGAATGACACCGTGGGGAAGGAGGACATCTAGTGGATAAACAAGGGAACACAACCAGACACTGTGACATAACCCCTCCTCTACGGAGCGGCTACCAGATGCTCCACGACAACACACAATAAAACGATACAAGAGTTCAGGAGGGAGGTGGAACGGTGGAGGATCAGAGGGAGGGATGGTGGGCCAGGTCCATGAAGGGCTACAGGAACAAGGGGTGAGGGTTTAACCGGGGACCAGAGCGAAACAGAGAGTCCATCGGGCGGCCAGGGTGAAACACAGAGCCCATCGGGCGGCCAGGGCCAAACACAGAGTCCATGGGGTGGCCAGGGTGAAAAATGCAGAGTATATCGGGCGATGAAGTCCCCTCGGGTGGCCAGGGCGGTGAAAACCCTTCGGGTGGCCAGGGCGGTGAAGACCCCTCGGGTGGCCAGAGCGGTGCAGACCCCTCGGGTGGCCAGGGCGGTGCAGACCCCTCGGGCGGCCAGGGCGATGAAGACCCCTCGGGTGGCCAGGGTGGTGAAAACCCCTCGGGTGGCCAGGGCGGTGAAGATCCCTTGGGTGGCCAGGATGGGGAAGACCCTTCGGGGGGCCAGGGTGGTGAAGACCTTTCGGGGGGCCAGGGTGGTGAAGACCCCTCGGGTGGCCAGGGTGGTGAAAACCCTTCGGGTGGCCAGGGCGATGAAGATCCCTTGGGTGGCCAGGATGGGGAAGACCCTTCGGGTGGCCAGGGCGATGAAGACCCCTCGGGTGGCCAGGGTGGTGAAAACCCTTCGGGTGGCCAGGGCGGTGAAGATCCCTTGGGTGGCCAGGATGGGGAAGACCTTTCGGGGGGCCAGGGTGGTGAAGACCTTTCGGGTGGCCAGGGCGGCTCAAATAGCTCGAACACAGAAGCCCTGACAGTTGGGTGAACACAACACACTCGACGAGCTGCAGAAATATGGCCATACCCTTTTTTTGTATATCCCGGAGGGAGGGTTGATGCAAATGTATGGGTTAGTGACATCTAAAACCCAGCTGTAGTCCCAGTCGAGTCGTTTTCATAGGCATTAAACTTCCTGATTTTTAAAAGGCGATATTTCTGCTTACTTTTTTCAGCACTGCAACTTTTCAGATACTGTTCATGCACCAACAGCAATATTACACACTATTTAAAATGAAAAAAGTGAAATCGCAATCAACCCCCCCTGATGTGCAGTTCACACTACATGACTTGCTCTCAGTGAAATCATGAGTGTTCAAGTTGTTTAGCTGTTCACACCACACAACACAACGTGATTGATCCACAACAGGAGGTAACTCACTACACGAGTTAACAACGCACTACATAGAGATACAACCACGATCGGATGATAAGAGCATATCTTTGTGACTCAATGAGAGCTGTTTAAAGTACTATGGTACGGTCTAAATCATGAAAATACTCAAATAAATAACGAGTTGACAACAACACGATTCTATCTGGTCTAGAAACCATGTTTTGTAACGAAAAACCACGCAATAAAACGAACCAGAAATGACGCGAAACTGCAGAGAAGAACACAACACGCGAATATGGACGTCAGACAGAAACTAGTGCTGCACAGTTTGCTCGACGATATGCTCTGAGAAAAAAAAATGCAAAAAAGAAAAAGATTTACCTGGTGTCCTCAACCCATGCGTTGCTATGATTGGCTGTACTCATGACATCACTGAGATTCAGCCCGACATTTTAAAATCATGTAGTGTGAACTAGGCATAAAGCTAAGTTCACACTACAGGATTTTAAGCCCAATTTATGCCGATTTGCAAATCGTTAGCACTCCGACAGGTCAGGGTGTTATCGCGTGCAAATCGCGGGGGATTAGCGGATAATGAACGCTTGCCAATCTGTAAGTATGAAAGAGCCAACAACGCAGCGAAAACGCTCGCAGACGCCTCGCAGACGCGTCCCAGAGCCCAGAAAAATCTAGCCTGCTATATCCAGAGCCGTCGCGCGACTCAAACTCAGTGATGTCATGAGTACAGCCAATCATAGCAACGCATGGGTTGAGGACATCTTAGTTTTTCTTTTTTTTGTTGTTGCTTTTTTCCCCTCAGAGCAGATCGTCGCGCAAACAGTGTGCAGCACTAGTTTCTGTCTGACATCCATATATTCACGTGTTGTGTTCTCTTCTTCGCTGGGTATTGGCGCAATATTTATTTATTTATTTATTGTTTTTTCGTGCCAAAACGTGATTTGTAGACAAGATAGAATCGTTGGGTGACAGAGTTAATTGTTGTCAACTCATTATTTATTTTATTATTTTCAGGATTTAGACTGTAACAGCTCTCATTGAGTCACATGATTTGCTCTTATTATCCGATCGTGGTTGTATCTCTAGTGTGTTGTCAACTTGTGTGAGTTACCTCCTGTTGTGGATCAATCACGTTTGTGTTGTGTGGTGTGAACAGCTAAACAACTTGAACACTCCTGATTTCACTGAGAGCAAGTCATGTAGTGTGAACCGCACAGTTCAGCCCGACGTTTTAAAATCATGTAGTGTGAACAAGCTTTAGAATTAAGGCCAAAAAGTTCTACCTTGGTCTCATCAGACCAGAGGATCTTATTTATCACCATCTTGGAGTCCTTCAGGTGTTTTCAGCAAACTTTGACGGTTTTTCCACAGTTCCCAAAGGTCCTTGAAAGTTTGTACATTATTTATTTATTCCTTATTATTATTATTAGGAAAAAAATATCGCTCCCCAGATGTAGATCTACATTTTGCTTCGTTTCGTTCGGACATTTAACGGCGTGTACATACACGCGGAATCATTCGGACATTAACGCCATAGACATACACACGTGGATAGCTCAAAATGCATAGATAACATGCCACTTGACTTGAAAGTGGCGCGTATGTTTACGCAAAAGTCATGATGCGATTGCTCTCCACCTGCTGCTGTGACGGTTCACACTGCCGTCCACATTTGGACGGTGCCGTTCACATTTGCCGGGATCTGTGAGTGCGTTTACACACACAACCCGTAAAGATCCCGGAAAGGCACATAACGTCAGGATGAGACGTGTAACGTACGCGCCGAAAATATGTACATGCGCATACCGTTCCACAAAGCTGGTGAACGATCTCAGCTGCAGCGCAGATAGTGAGGGGCTCCTGGTCTCTGCTTCGTTCCAGTTTGCAGACATTTGTTCGTCCTTTTTTTGTTGATGACGAACACAAACTTTCTTCTTAGAGCAACAGAGTCGCACGATTGTCATCACTATGACAGACCCCTTACGGCATTGGCCCTGGCTTTTGTTCACACAGCGCGCGTTCAAGGACTGATTCCGGCAACCCAGGGTCCTTAAGTCCTTCACTGACCAATCAGTGTCCATTAGCCGAATGCTAGCAGGTTATGGGCAACAACAACTCAACCTGTAAGAAATCGAAAGGACACAGAGTACTCGTTCATTCAACTTTTGACCTATAACCCATGTTGAACTTGCAAAACCTATAATCAAATCTGAGATTTCTCAACGGCAATCGGGTGAAAGAGACAAATTTAGCAATCCAGCTCCATAGACTCCCATTCATTTTGCACTCGGACGATCGGACCGAGTGGAATTACAACCAAAATTTGGTACAATAGGACTTAATAGAGAGTGGCCAGGCTTTTTCGTAGACGGGCTTTGGTACAACGTCTGGGTTTGGGATGTATTCTTTGGTTTTCTCCAGGCCAATGTTTTACCGGTCCAATTAGTGAACAGAGGGAGTGGTTGGGAACGATGACGTTGATGTTGTGTGCTAGTTTGAGTCGTCATACATCACAACGTTAGTGATTGCTTGTGGCAGATCTAGAGTGGCTCTGGGCAGATCCAATAGTTTTAAACTTTAACAGAGTAGGCTACCCGCCTACTGTGTACAAATGAAATGTTCGAGGGTCTGGTGGGACCAGGCTAGCACAATGTAGCATTTTCAATGAAATTCATTGGTTAGTGTGTGAGTGTTGAACTGCATCTGAAATATTAACTGTTGCAAATTGGTGGATGCTTTGTGTCTGGAGGAGTTGAATGTTAATAAAATACTTTTTAATTATTGATTATGTCAATTTTAGAAGCTGACATGGTTGGCATAACCTATATTTCTGTTAATGACTTTTGGCGTTTATAATAACAGACACAGGAAATGACACAGCTTAATGAAATCAACATAATGCACATAGATGCAAGAATTTAATGAGAATGTTAATTATGGAAGCATTTGAAGGAATAAATCAAGTTTAAAACAGAGCAATTTTCCCAAGATTAACTATAGACTGATTTCTGGATAGCACAAATCTTTATGTAGCCATTCAAGAAAAGAAACTCGCTTAAATATCAATTTTAAACACCAAATCTAATATTACATAATGTGATATTAAGTAATGACAAAAACTGTTATATATGTCAACATTTTAACTGTGAAAAGCAAAGCAGAATATTATTTATTTAGCAATTTTTTTCACTGGGATCCATGCGACTTGAGAAAAATATCTTCATCCTGTTGGAAATAAAAGACAGGAAAGGTAGCATTAATGTAATATATAATTAAACATATATTAAACAAAGATTTTGAGTCATGGCCATGACTTACAGCAGTTTGCGAGCGTTTTCCACTCTGGAGACACGTCAGCCTTTACCAGTGCACAAGACGACACATAATTATTGAAGGCATTGCATAAAGCATTTCGACTTCCATCATTGAGACACATTTGGAAAAGGCAGTCAGCAGCGAATCGCCTCTTTGAAATTATGTCATGGCACTGGGCAAATGGGCCCTTCGCATTCTCCAACAAACCACAATAGCTTTGTCCACTATATAGTAACTTCTTATCATCTGAGCAAGGGGGAAAGTGCCAGCAGTTGCTGTTGCTTTCAGGGACACTCCAAGACTTTGCCCATTCTGTGATGTCTGTCATGCTCTTACCACTTGGTGTGACATAATCATCCTGCAGGTCATTACTGTAGGTTCCACACATTCCAACTATGTTATTATAATAACTACTGGACAATGTCACCATGAGGGTATTCGCCCAATTAAACATGACCTCCAAGCCAAAATCTGTCTGCAGGACTCCTGTTGTACCCAATTTCGTTATGTTGATCCCATCAGAGTTTAAACTTACAGGAAGGTTCGAAACTGTGCCATCAATCTGGATAGAATAAAATGAGAGCAAGAAATAGACATATTAAAGGGATACTAAATGAAAAGGATTTAGCATTAAGCTTTGTATTGGTAGAAAACCTGCAGTAGAAAACCAGTTTTGTCTGGAAAAAAAAATTCTCCGATGACACAAAAATTGCCATTTTGCGTCATCTTGAGGATTTTTTTGGCCAGAGGCTAAAGACTACGGTTAGTAGTAGGGGCTGTTCCGTATGTTTTCATCAATGCCCATAGAGGGTGGGATCTCACTCACAGAATGTACACAATAGTGTCAGCCATTTTTTTTTTTTTTTGGAAGCTAGGCTAGCAGGCTCTTGTTCTGTGGAGAAAGCGGAGTAGTAGGGTTTACCATCCTCTTTTTCCCAGACATGTCCGGCCGTCGATGTCTGGGATTAAGCTTTTGCTTTTTGCAGTCGCCATTCATTGTTTACATGCACAGCTTTTGTTATAATTTAACTGAATTCATTCCAGTTGGTGAATCTGAATGTAGTGTTTACATGAACGCTAAACAAGTGATCGGTTGATCTGCGTTTTAACATTGCTAAGCAATTCCCGCTCCTCTGTGAGAGATACGAGACCGGTGCGTCTCACAGGTGTCGCTCATCAGCAATCACGCCACCGGCCTCGCACCGTTCTCCCGTGGCCCTGGCCTCGTTCTGCTCGCCACAGTAAACATAAGGAATGGTGACTATAAAATGCAAAAGCCAAATCCCAGACATTTTGGGCGTTCTCGAAACACATTTTCGGGCAGACTCATCACAGAGACTCACTAGTAGTCTTGACTTGTTGTTTAACTACTGCGCTCTGTTACCGGTAGGCGTGGCCTCCTAGGGCAGCGAAGCAAGTGCATTTCTAGACTCTGGGAGTCTAGAAAGCTCCAAATTCAAAAATAATTTAACATTTCTGAAACATAAATGACCCATTTTATATATACTTGCATCTCACCACTCAGAGGTGAAGTATCCCTTTAAGTACAGAATTTCAAAAGGGGTAGTCAACACTGCTCCAGGAGATTTTAGCTCCAAACCTATCTGAACTAGCCAATTAAGCTGAAAATTACTTTAAAATAGCAGGTGTGTTGGAGCAAGGTCGAAACTGAAGTCTGTTAGAAGGTAGTCCTCTGGGTGCAAGGTTGGCTTCCCCTAATATACAATATTACCTTAGAGGGACATTGAGATGTTTTAACATTGACTTGATGGTACTGACTTACTGTCACATGATTGCGGTTTCCTCGGATGAAAGTGATCTCATGTCCTCTGACTGTAATGGTGGCTGACTTCACGTAAGCACCACGTGTGCCTTTGAGCATCTCATTCTTGTTGACGATGCTGAAAGGTGTTAGTGTTAGGTCTTTGCCTGAAGTTTTAACTAAAGTATAGGAGCAAGTACCCTGGAAGGAAAAGTGGCTTCCATCAAAGGTTTTGTAAAGAGGATCGTCTTTGGCAATGCAGGAGGCCTTTGACTTTGCAACACACAGTGCCGTATTGTCCTTTACAGTGCAGTACTCTTGTTCACGGCACTCATAGTTACTGCAAGGATCTGGAACAGAGGTGTGCATCTGTATTATGGTTTCATTTAAACCTCATTGGGAAATTCTTTACAATGTTCATTGTAGACATACTTACCTTTCTTGTAGCACCCAATTACACCTTCTTTTTTGTCACAGATCTGATCTGCATCACATTTAAATGGTTCACAGGAGAACACTCCAGTTTTGCAGAGGCATTTCTCTTTACACTGTCCTTGAAAGACTGTCTCACCTGACTGCAGAAAAAATAAGAGACAATAAGTGTCAGTTTCTTCCTGTGACTAGTGTGATGTTTGACTACTGCAAGAAAGAAAGTGAAATGGTTTCTCACCTTGTAAAACTTTCCATCTACATTACAACCACAGTCATGCAAAGTCTTGCATTCACCTCCATCAAACAAGAAGCCATCATCACACTGACATCCTTCCTGACATGGTGGACAATCCTGTGAGTTAGTCAGGCTGGCGCAGGTTGAAGAACAAGTTTCAGCACAAAGGTCATAGTGACTGTTTGCCGAACACTCGAGTGCTGGAAGAATTCAAGATTGTTTTTAGAGACTGGCTCAGAAATCAGTTTTTGGAGAGAATGTTTAATTTTACATAGTAGCTTCTTCAACTAAAGGCTACGTAAAAAGAAGGCCAGCAAGAGGACAAACAAGAAGAGGGTCATTTGAGGAACATGAAGACACTTACGACAGAAGGTTTTATTCCTCCAGCTGTTGATTGTCATCCCAATCTCTTGACAGCTGGCGGCATACCTTTGTATGTGGCGACAGTGAACAGTCTTGTCTTTTGGTTGTGCTGCCACATCTTTAACGCATTCATCGAAGAATTTCTGAGGTGGAATTTTTTCGTAACAACCAGAAAATGGTCCCTTCTTTGCGATTAGCATACTGCAAGCTGTTTCTGCCTCTGTCTGTTTGTCTTTGTCCGGATTTAAACATTTGGAGCCACAATTTGTTTGGCACATCATTTTATCTGATGGCAAAACCCAGGAGTCAGCAAAGTACTCCACGGAAGATGTCTGAATACCATCTGGCAGGAGAAAATCATCGGCGCTGTTTCCATTGTAGTTACCACAGAGACCTTTGACTGCATTTTTAAAAGTGGACGGGATCTCGATTTTGGCCATGGAGACTGTATCATATGTCAGTTTCAATCCAAACTCTGTTTCCACAACAATGTTAACACCGCTCTGATAGACTTGTACCAGTCCATCATTTACAGTCACGGGGAGATTAGTTTTAACTTTGTTCAACTGTAAAGAAAATACCAACATAAAAGATTTTAGGCAACAGTATTTGATCACTTAAAACTATATTGTTAGTGTTTTAGTAACCAGTACATTACCTGAACCTCCCAGATGTGGCCGGGCAGCAAAGTAATCGTGGATAGTTCTATTTGTATTTCCACTCTTCGAGTAAAGACTATCTCAGAGGAGGACTGCTGTTTGACTAATACACTGAAAGAGTTCATGTCCTCATCCTTGTTCTGAGCTGTCTCTGCCAATCTATACTCACAGTTTCCTTCAACAGTGAAGGACTTCCCATCAAATGTCTGATAAAGCCCAAAGCCTGACACTGAGCAAATGGCTTTGCTCTCTGGGAAACAGCCCAGAACACCATTCAGAACCTGGCACTTCTCAGTTGGTTTGCAGGTGAATCCATCATTACACTGAACTCTTCCATTCTCTTTGCAGACACATCTCTGCTGGCACTTGTCCTGAGGGAAGAATTCCTGACCCAGCTGATAGTACTTGCCCTTTTCAGTACAGCCACACTGCTTAGCAGCCACACACTCACCATCGCTCAGGACAAAGCCTTTGTCACATGTGCAACCTTCAACACAGGGAGTTTCCTCACAGGCCTTGGGCTCAGTGAGGCCATAACACGTCTGTGGGCATCCTGTCGCACAAACCTCATAGTGGCTGTGTGCCTTACAGTTTGTAGCTGTGGACAGACCATATTAAGAACTAATGTCAAACTACGTTAATGAGTTATAATTATATTTGAAATAAAACAATACTAACGGCAAAAACTGTTGGTTCTCCAGGATTCCACTTGGCCAAGTGCATCTTGACAAGCAGCTGTGTATGCAGTAAGAGCACTGCAGAGTGCTGACGAATGACCCCCGTACATACACATATCATACACACAATCCTCATAAAACTGATTTGGATTCACTTTATTATGGCAGCCTTTGAATGGTCCCTGTTTGTCAGTGATCTTGCTGCAAGGCTTTGTAAAAGGGACTTTGTTTCTCTCGGTGGCGTCACATTTAGGACATGCTTTGCCCTGACATCCATCTGAGCATCCAGGGTCATCCTTGACTTTCCAGCTGGTTCCAAAAATGGTTGGGGTGGCAGCAAGAGTTTTGTCAGGAGTAAGCAAATCATCATTGACATTGTCATTCCAGTTGCCGCAAAGCCCCCCCACTTGACTGTAGTAAGTGCTGGGGAGAGTCAGTGCCACGTGGCTATCCCAGTTGAATTTCAATGTCAGATCAAACTCAGTTTTTATCACGCCAAAGAACCCACTGTAGAATATTGAAAGTCGACCATCTTCTGGTTCAAATGGCAAATTCACATACTGGTTGTTGACCTTTTGAGACAAATTCATCCAAATAAATTATTATTCAAAACCATGTGTAATTTTTGGTAAGTCATTGTACAGTTACAATCGACTGGCTATGCATGCTGTTATTCTTATTACAGGTAAAAGAGTCTTTTTGATGAACTGACCTTCACTTTGCGTGGGCTTTCCTTGCTTAAGACAATTGTGTATCCATAGACTGTTAAGGATACAGTCTTAGTGTAAGCAACTGCCATGTTTCTTCCTCTGTTCTCATTCTTGACCAACACCTCAAAAGGTATCAATGATGGGTCAGCTGTATTGAGTAGCTTGGACAAATAATAGGTGCAGGTTCCTTGAAAGTCAAAGGTTTTACCATCAAATGTGCGGTAGTGTGGATCCCCTGCACCCTGGCAGGTACTATAGGACATTGGGTAACAATCTCTCACTCCATTCCGTGTGTCACACACTAGGGGATTCTTACATTTTGTTGGTGTGCATTCAACCTTTCCAGTTTGAGGGTTACACACACATTTCTCTGTGCATTTATTGTCACCCCAAAATGTCTGCTCAGCTAGATAATATCGGTCTTTGTAAGTGCAGCCACACTTTTTCACAGGTGTGCATTCATCTCCACTGCGGACAAAACCTGCATTGCACAGGCAGCCTTCCACACATGGCAGTGTGCACTCTTCTGGACCATCTCTATCAGCACAAGAGGGGGGACAGGCAGTGCCACAGGCATCATAATGCATATTGACTGGACAGTAAGTAGCTTGAAGGATGAAACAGAGAAAAGAGAGCATGTAAATACCTTGTATATAAACATATATTTTACTTTCATGGTACACTTCTTATAAACATAAATACCTTTGCTGTAGCACCCAATGGCGCCATCTTTTTTGCCACAGATCTGATCTTCATTGCATTCCAAGGGTTCACATGAGAACACTCCGGCTTTGCAGTAGCATTTCTCTTCACACTCTCCCCGAATGACTGTCTCACCAGACTGCAGAATATATTAAAGAAATCAATATTTTGGTTGGAAAGATAAAAAAAAAACATTGTTTTCTCTGTGGTTATTGTCACTGGTGTCATGTTTGGATACAATTAATAATAAATAAATAAGTAAAAAAAAAAAAAATGAAAAGAACGGACCAGATAGATTCTCACCTTGTAAAACTTTCCATTTACATTACAACCACAGTCATCCAAAGTCTTACATTCACCTCCATCAAACAAAAAGCCATCATCACACTGACATCCTTCCTGACACATCGGGCATTTCTGTGACTTTGTCAGGCTTGCACAGGTCGAGGAACAGGTGTCAGCGCAGAGTTCATAGTGACTGTTTTTGAAACATGTGAGTGCTGAAAGAAAACAGTGAAATTTTAAAGAAAAACGTATTGTTTGGTGCATTAATGGGCATTATGTAGATGGACTCGAGGAGAGTTATTTTTAAACGTAAAGTATCCAGACACTTACGACAGAAGGTTTTATTCCTCCAGCTGTTGATTGTCGTCCCAATCTCTTGACAGCTGGCGACATACCTTTGTATGTGGCGACAGTGAACAGTCTTGTCTTTTGGTTGTGCTGCCACATCTTTAACGCATTCATCAAAGAATTTCTGAGGTGGAATTTTTTCGTAACAACCAGAAAATGGTCCCTTCTTTGCGATTAGCATACTGCAAGCTGTTTCTGCCTCTGTCTGTTTGTCTGTGTCCGGATTTAAACATTTGGAGCCACAAAACGCAGCGAAAACGCTCGCAGACGCCTCGCAGACGCGTCCCAGAGCCCAGAAAAATCTAGCCTGCTATATCCAGAGCCGTCGCGCGACTCAAACTCAGTGATGTCATGAGTACAGCCAATCATAGCAACGCATGGGTTGAGGACATCTTAGTTTTTCTTTTTTTTGTTGTTGCTTTTTTCCCCTCAGAGCAGATCGTCGCGCAAACAGTGTGCAGCACTAGTTTCTGTCTGACATCCATATATTCACGTGTTGTGTTCTCTTCTTCGCTGGGTATTGGCGCAATATTTATTTATTTATTTATTGTTTTTTCGTGCCAAAACGTGATTTGTAGACAAGATAGAATCGTTGGGTGACAGAGTTAATTGTTGTCAACTCATTATTTATTTTATTATTTTCAGGATTTAGACTGTAACAGCTCTCATTGAGTCACATGATTTGCTCTTATTATCCGATCGTGGTTGTATCTCTAGTGTGTTGTCAACTTGTGTGAGTTACCTCCTGTTGTGGATCAATCACGTTTGTGTTGTGTGGTGTGAACAGCTAAACAACTTGAACACTCCTGATTTCACTGAGAGCAAGTCATGTAGTGTGAACCGCACAGTTCAGCCCGACGTTTTAAAATCATGTAGTGTGAACAAGCTTTAGAATTAAGGCCAAAAAGTTCTACCTTGGTCTCATCAGACCAGAGGATCTTATTTATCACCATCTTGGAGTCCTTCAGGTGTTTTCAGCAAACTTTGACGGTTTTTCCACAGTTCCCAAAGGTCCTTGAAAGTTTGTACATTATTTATTTATTCCTTATTATTATTATTAGGAAAAAAATATCGCTCCCCAGATGTAGATCTACATTTTGCTTCGTTTCGTTCGGACATTTAACGGCGTGTACATACACGCGGAATCATTCGGACATTAACGCCATAGACATACACACGTGGATAGCTCAAAATGCATAGATAACATGCCACTTGACTTGAAAGTGGCGCGTATGTTTACGCAAAAAGTCATGATGCGATTGCTCTCCACCTGCTGCTGTGACGGTTCACACTGCCGTCCACATTTGGACGGTGCCGTTCACATTTGCCGGGATCTGTGAGTGCGTTTACACACACAACCCGTAAAGATCCCGGAAAGGCACATAACGTCAGGATGAGACGTGTAACGTACGCGCCGAAAATATGTACATGCGCATACCGTTCCACAAAGCTGGTGAACGATCTCAGCTGCAGCGCAGATAGTGAGGGGCTCCTGGTCTCTGCTTCGTTCCAGTTTGCAGACATTTGTTCGTCCTTTTTTGTTGATGACGAACACAAACTTTCTTCTTAGAGCAACAGAGTCGCACGATTGTCATCACTATGACAGACCCCTTACGGCATTGGCCCTGGCTTTTGTTCACACAGCGCGCGTTCAAGGACTGATTCCGGCAACCCAGGGTCCTTAAGTCCTTCACTGACCAATCAGTGTCCATTAGCCGAATGCTAGCAGGTTATGGGCAACAACAACTCAACCTGTAAGAAATCGAAAGGACACAGAGTACTCGTTCATTCAACTTTTGACCTATAACCCATGTTGAACTTGCAAACCTATAATCAAATCTGAGATTTCTCAACGGCAATCGGGTGAAAGAGACAAATTTAGCAATCCAGCTCCATAGACTCCCATTCATTTTGCACTCGGACGATCGGACCGAGTGGAATTACAACCAAAATTTGGTACAATAGGACTTAATAGAGAGTGGCCAGGCTTTTTCGTAGACGGGCTTTGGTACAACGTCTGGGTTTGGGATGTATTCTTTGGTTTTCTCCAGGCCAATGTTTTACCGGTCCAATTAGTGAACAGAGGGAGTGGTTGGGAACGATGACGTTGATGTTGTGTGCTAGTTTGAGTCGTCATACATCACAACGTTAGTGATTGCTTGTGGCAGATCTAGAGTGGCTCTGGGCAGATCCAATAGTTTTAAACTTTAACAGAGTAGGCTACCCGCCTACTGTGTACAAATGAAATGTTCGAGGGTCTGGTGGGACCAGGCTAGCACAATGTAGCATTTTCAATGAAATTCATTGGTTAGTGTGTGAGTGTTGAACTGCATCTGAAATATTAACTGTTGCAAATTGGTGGATGCTTTGTGTCTGGAGGAGTTGAATGTTAATAAAATACTTTTTAATTATTGATTATGTCAATTTTAGAAGCTGACATGGTTGGCATAACCTATATTTCTGTTAATGACTTTTGGCGTTTATAATAACAGACACAGGAAATGACACAGCTTAATGAAATCAACATAATGCACATAGATGCAAGAATTTAATGAGAATGTTAATTATGGAAGCATTTGAAGGAATAAATCAAGTTTAAAACAGAGCAATTTTCCCAAGATTAACTATAGACTGATTTCTGGATAGCACAAATCTTTATGTAGCCATTCAAGAAAAGAAACTCGCTTAAATATCAATTTTAAACACCAAATCTAATATTACATAATGTGATATTAAGTAATGACAAAAACTGTTATATATGTCAACATTTTAACTGTGAAAGCAAAGCAGAATATTATTTATTTAGCAATTTTTTTCACTGGGATCCATGCGACTTGAGAAAAATATCTTCATCCTGTTGGAAATAAAAGACAGGAAAGGTAGCATTAATGTAATATATAATTAAACATATATTAAACAAAGATTTTGAGTCATGGCCATGACTTACAGCAGTTTGCGAGCGTTTTCCACTCTGGAGACACGTCAGCCTTTACCAGTGCACAAGACGACACATAATTATTGAAGGCATTGCATAAAGCATTTCGACTTCCATCATTGAGACACATTTGGAAAAGGCAGTCAGCAGCGAATCGCCTCTTTGAAATTATGTCATGGCACTGGGCAAATGGGCCCTTCGCATTCTCCAACAAACCACAATAGCTTTGTCCACTATATAGTAACTTCTTATCATCTGAGCAAGGGGGAAAGTGCCAGCAGTTGCTGTTGCTTTCAGGGACACTCCAAGACTTTGCCCATTCTGTGATGTCTGTCATGCTCTTACCACTTGGTGTGACATAATCATCCTGCAGGTCATTACTGTAGGTTCCACACATTCCAACTATGTTATATAATAACTACTGGACAATGTCACCATGAGGGTATTCGCCCAATTAAACATGACCTCCAAGCCAAAATCTGTCTGCAGACTCCTGTTGTACCCAATTTCGTTATGTTGATCCCATCAGAGTTTAAACTTACAGGAAGGTTCGAAACTGTGCCATCAATCTGGATAGAATAAAATGAGAGCAAGAAAATAGACATATTAAAGGGATACTAAATGAAAAGGATTTAGCATTAAGCTTTGTATTGGTAGAAACCTGCAGTAGAAAACCAGTTTTGTCTGGAAAAAAAAATTCTCCGATGACACAAAAATTGCCATTTTGCGTCATCTTGAGGATTTTTTGGCCAGAGGCTAAAGACTACGGTTAGTAGTAGGGGCTGTTCCGTATGTTTTCATCAATGCCCATAGAGGGTGGGATCTCACTCACAGAATGTACACAATAGTGTCAGCCATTTTTTTTTTTTTTTGGAAGCTAGGCTAGCAGGCTCTTGTTCTGTGGAGAAAGCGGAGTAGTAGGGTTTACCATCCTCTTTTTCCCAGACATGTCCGGCCGTCGATGTCTGGGATTAAGCTTTTGCTTTTTGCAGTCGCCATTCATTGTTTACATGCACAGCTTTTGTTATAATTTAACTGAATTCATTCCAGTTGGTGAATCTGAATGTAGTGTTTACATGAACGCTAAACAAGTGATCGGTTGATCTGCGTTTTAACATTGCTAAGCAATTCCCGCTCCTCTGTGAGAGATACGAGACCGGTGCGTCTCACAGGTGTCGCTCATCAGCAATCACGCCACGGCCTCGCACCGTTCTCCGTGGCCCTGGCCTCGTTCTGCTCGCCACAGTAAACATAAGGAATGGTGACTATAAAATGCAAAAGCCA